TCCGGCCCGGGACAAGCCCACCCTGCCCGAACCTGGAACGACCCATTATCCAGCACCAGTGGCACCGGCCCGTGTGCCACCGGCCCTGTCTCCAGCACTGGGTCCGGAGCGGCACGGGCATCGCGGAACGGGAACACATTCGCCGCCATCTTGGGTTACACCTGCCCCGCCCCTTGACGCGGCGCGCGCTCGGACGCCGCGAAGTACCGCCCCCCTAAGGCGGAGCTGCTGGGGCCCCGAAGTGCCTCGAAGCTCCTCCTTTCCCGAAACTGCCACCCTCTCCACCCAGCTCGCTTCTGGTAGACTAGGCCGCTCCCAGGACCGCTAGTTTCCTGCCCATCCTGTCCAATCCGGCTGTCCCCCAACTGCCTCTGAATAACACTCCTTCGCTGTAACTGGCTCTGGCCGCCAGGAAGCCCCGCCCCTGGGGCGTAACGCGGCCAGGCCCCGCCCTTTCCTGACCTTTAGATAGATGGGAGGTCTAGCTAGTGCGGCAAGGCACCGCCTTCTCGCAATCCTTATTAGTTCCTCTCGGGGATGCACCTTCCCGGAATGTTCTCCCTACTTGCTGGCTATTGCCTCAGGTTCTCCGTGAAATTCAAACTCTGCTGTATTGACAGTGCTAGATTTCTTATCCTGATAACTGCCCACATAGATGTTTTCACTTTGCAAAAATTCATCACTCTATCCACTTACAGTTTGTGGGCTTTTAAACATGCATATGTTGCAATATAAAGTTTAAAAATAAGTTCACTTATTAATTCCCATGAACTGTTCTCTAAGACTTAATACTGAAAAAAAATGGCTGCTAGTTGTTCCTTAATATGTATAGTATCCCTTTTAATATAGCATAACTCCCCATATCATCATGTCACTTGTGGCTCCCAGTGTCAGGGTGAGGCAGAACCAAGTTCAAGATGACAGGTCAAGGAGTTGAATTCAAACTGGCAAAACGCCCAAGTAGTGTTGCAGGCTGAACAAATTGGGTTCCAGCTTCACAGCCAGAAACGAGCCTGAAAGTAGAGCTAATGGTGCAGGTTTGCTGGGATTATCCACTACCCCACCTCAAATCCATGGCTGGCTTGCTGATACTAATCAACATGGATCTGGGCACTGTTTGCCCACTTTGTCTACCACTGACAGCAGAGACATGCCCTTAAAAATCTTTTTTTTCTTGATTTTTTTTTGTTTTTTAATTAGTGTGCTAGTTACTTTTCCCTCCTTGTTGAGACAAGATGCCTGACATCAAAAATTAAAACGGAAAGGGTTTAAGTTCACAGTTTGTAGAAGTTTCAGTCATAATACCCAGGCTCCAAGGCAGGGCAGTAGAGGAGCAACTGTTCATGGTGAAAGAAGACAGCAAAGGCAACAACAGACCTTCACAGCATCTTTCTGCCCCTTTTATCTTATTCAGACTACTTAGGGTGGATATCACTCATACCCTTAATCCTAGTGCCCTCAGGTCTAGTCCTATCATGATTGAATAACACACTCTAGATTCATCCACCTTTGAAAAAGCATGAGGCTTTGAGAGGGGCACCTAAACACAAGCTGTAACAATTAGTGTGAACATTTTTTCTATTTTTTGTTCTGTTCTTATATTTATTTCCTCCTTCTTTTTCCATCCTGCCTTCTTCATCAGTTTCCCAAAGTTCACATAATCTTCGTCATCCAGCCTTCCTTCTAATCTTCCTCTTCTATTTCTCTATTTTCCTCCTACCACCTTTTAAATTTTCTCCCCTGAGAGTAAAAATCACCATATCGAGGATATATTTACTGTATACAATTTTCTGGTCTATTATAGATTTTGTTATATAACCACAAATATACTTCATATGGTTAAAGGAGGCAAATTAAGTTACCATAGGTTGTCAATTTCTAGGCTGTTTGATACTATTGTTATTGCTCATTATTCTACTTTAGCTAACATGACAAAATTATTCTAATCAGTTCCTCTTCCTGGTATGGGAAGATTGAGATTGCCTAAGGGTCATAAACGATACTATAGATCAGTGCCAGAGAAGGAGGGGCTAGGCCAAATAGGCAGCATCTTCTCATACCCAATAAATTGAAGAGATAGAATCTTGCAACAGACTCAAAACCCAAAAGGTAGCTACACCTGGAAGACAACTCCGGGAACTGGTTATATCCTAAGGTTTGTAAATACTACTGATAAAGCTACCTGCAATTTATCTACCAGCAATTTATAAGCCTGAAGCCAGGAATTAAGTGAAAAAATAATAGATAATGAGAAGACACTAAAGCAAGATGCAACCCCCAGCTTCCAGCTCACCAAAGACAAACCCAGGGGGCAATGAGATGGAAGAATTAAAACACCACCTACCTGGACTCTGAAGTGGCAACAGCAGAAGGGACAAAGCAGATGAATAAGACTCTCAGAAATAATCTCTCAGATAACTACAAAGATGGTGGCCATAATGAGAGACATGGTGATTCTAGAGTAGATATAGGAAAAAAAATAGAGGAATTTGGGAAAATAATGGAAACCACGACTGTCCAACATAGGAAAGAAATGGAATCCATAAAACAAATTCAAACAGATATCCAGGATATTAAAAATTCCATTGAAAGTATACACAGCACTGAGGACAGACTATCAGATATAAAAGACAGGAACACAGCTAGTGATCATAAAAAGAAAGATTTCTTAAAAATAGCAAGGGCCACAAAAAATTAAAATCAATCCAACAGCTCCTAGATGATACAAAAGAGAATAACATAAGATTGATTGGAGTAGATGAAAAAATAGGAGATAGTGCAAACAACAGAAAAAGCCTTTTGGGCAGGGGATTTAGCTTAGTGGTTCCACCACCTGCCTCACAAGTGCAAGGACCCAAGTTCAATCCCAGGTACAAAAAAAAAAAAAGTCCTGTTCACAGAAGTAACAGCAGAAAACTTCCCAAACATGGAAAAATAATTTGACATAAAGATAAGTGAGGCACATAGGACTCTAATTTGCTATGATTAAAAAAAAAACTACATAAAGGGACGTAGTAGTCAAAATTCCAGAAATTCAATATAAGAATAGAATATTAAAAGCTATTGCATCCAGGCATGATGGCACATGCCTGTAATCCCAGCATTATGGAGGCTGAAGCAAAAGAATTGCCATGAGTTCAAGGCCAGCCTGGGCTATACTGTGAGTTCAAGACCAACCTGAACTATGCAGTGAGACTGTGTCTCAAAAAAAAATCAAAATAAATCAAAGGCTGTTACAGAGAAGAAACACATCACCTATGAAGGAAAGCCCATCTCAGTCACAACAGACTTCACAACACAAACCCTCAAGTCAAGGAGAGCTTGAAGTGAAGTATTGTAATTCCTAAAAGAAGACAACCTCCAAGCCAGAGTGATGTACTCTATAAAACTATCTTTCAAAATTGATGGAGAAATAGATACTTCCATGACAGACAACACCTGAAGAAATTCATGACTACCAAACCAGCAGTCCAAAATGTTCTGAAAGACATTCGAGAAAGAGATGATGAGGATTGCAACTCCATGAACCCCAGCAGAATGAATCCACCAGGCAAGGCAAGTAATTAAACAGAGGGAGAAAAAAGGAGAACCAATGACAGGAAAATAATATGACAAGTATAAGTCAATATATATTAGTTATAACTGTCAATATAAATGGCCTTAGTTCAACAATCAAAAGAAACTGAATGGTAGAATGGATCAAGAAGCATGATCCAACAATATGCTGCACACAAGAAACACATATTATTCAAAAAGAAGTTCATTGACTGAAAGTCAAAGGATGGAAAACAATACTCCATGTGACAGGAACCCAGAAAAAAGGAGGGGTAACTATTCTATTTAAGGACAAAGAGGATTTTAAGCCAAGACTGATTGAGAGAAACAAAGAAAATCACTATTTCCTTGTAAAGGAAATGATCCAAGAGGAACAGATAATCATAAATATATATACACAAAATACCAGCACATCCAACTCTATAAAACAAATATTAATGAACATAAAAAGTCAAATAAGCACTAATATAATTATAATGGGAGATCTCAATACCACACTGTCACAAACAGGCAGATCAACTAAACAAAAATAATCAAAGAAATATCAGAACTGTCCCCACACGTGGTGGCACATGCCTGTAATCCCAGCACTTGGGAGGCTGAGGCAGGAGGATCGCTTTGAGTTCCAGCCTGGGCTACATAGTGAGTTTCAGATCAGTCTCAACTACAAAGTGAGACCCTGTCTCAAAAAAACAAACAAACAAAAAGAAAAGAAAAGAAAGAAAGAAAAGAAAAAGAAAAATATCAGAACTGAACCAAATTTTTAAACAAATGGACTTAGTAGATGTCTATAGATTGTTCCACCTCACAACATCAGAATGCACATTCTTCTCAGCAGCTCATGGGATGGTGTCCAAAACAGACCACGTACTAGCTCATAGAACAAACTTAAGGAAATGCAAAGGAATTGAAATTATCCCACACATATTATCAGATCAGAGTGCAATGAAATTGGAAATCAATGGCAAAAGAAACCACAAGAACTTCATAAACACATGGAAATTAAATGACACTCCCCTGAACAATCAATGGGTCACAGATTAAATTAAAGAAAAAAGTTAGACAGTTTCTACAATTAAATGATAATGCCAATACAACATGCCAAAAGTTATCGGATGCAATGAAAGCAGAATTTATAGCAGTGAATTCTCATATCAGAAAAACAGAGTGAGCTCAAATAAACAATCTAA